TATATATATATATATATATATATATATATATAAATATATATAGTGTGCGTGTGTTTTCATTCATTAAACCAGAATTTGGGAATGATCATTTTGTGATGACCCTTTTGCTTTTTAGTCCTTTGTTTTAATTTCACCTCCATCGTCCTGAAAAGATCTGAAACTGTGTGTGGTGTCCCACGTCTCGTTCTGCTAAAGTCCAGCCTGTGAGAAACGCTTCATGAAAATCGAATCGGGATTCATTGTTCTGTGACTGACAGGTGAAGCCCGGTGCTTTGCTCTGTGGGTGCATTTGCACGCGTGCATGACATTTAGAGGGATGCCCCGAACACATGTGCATGAGCTGGAACAGCACAAGAGCCGGGCGTAGTTTTAGAGGGTTCATTTGATCTGCTTCCACTCACAGACACACACCTACATGCACAAACACACACACTGCTGAAGGGTGATTTATTAAGCTGCTCCTGTTAATTCTTAATAATCCTGAGACTTTCACACCCCATTTACCTTGCTGCTGCTTTCGGCTGATCCATGAGCTACATGTTTTCAGGAGCACATGCACACACACTTAAACACATGTGTATTTCTCCGTCCATACCCATACACACATCTGCATTTGCACACATGGACTCGCACTCGGGTTGACAGAACAAGGAGGCTTGGGGGCCATTTTCTTTACTGCCAAAGTTGAGAACTAAGAGAAAGAGGGGAAGGAAGAGGGCGGAGGACAAGCAGGAGGACGGTGTGTGTGTGTTCCTGTCCATGTGTATAAAAGCCATTCCCTGGTAAAAGGAACAATCTATCACCGCCTTTTAGGGAGGGGGTGTGGGCGGAGGCTGTTTAACAGGACCTTTATTTGAATGATGACGTGTTTTTTTTGTAATTAGAAGTGAAAGTTCTACAATTTTTCTGAGCGAACACGAGCCATTTCAAATAAAATTGTTATAAAGGCTTAAATGCACAAATTATGTATTTTCATTAAACGAAAAGCTTTGTCATAGAAAATTAAAGGAATGTTATTCAAATGATTTAGGCCAGCTGACTAAAGTTAAATAGAATGTTACTTAGTTCAAGTTTAATTGGAAAATATGTGTATTAAAAAAAATGCCACTTTTGATTTGATTATCAAGGTCAAGGTTCTTTATTGTCATTCACAACACATGTGGTACATGTGGTGGAACGAAACTATGTACACAGGGTCCCAGTTACATCCAACAAAAATACAAATTGTAACAGTAATAAGATCTAAGATATGAACTAATATGCTAAACTAAGACTATACTTAGCACTAATAATACAAAACTATTATATTAACTATAACTATAATATAAATATAACTGTTACTAGTATAACTATAACTATGATATTATATTAACTAATATGTATAACAATGGAGCTGACTTCTATAAAAAATTATAAACTATAAGCTTTTTTAATGAAAATTATAGAATTATCATTGGTTTACTAGTTTTAACCAGTATAGTTGATATGATATTACAATAAATGCATGAATCAAAAGGAAAACAAAAAACAAAACAAAAAAATATATATCAGGGTTTTTGTCTGAACATGTGTGGAAGAGGTTCTCTGATTATTATGTACAAGCAGGCTGGAGAGGAGTGTGAGGGATGAGGTAACAAAGTAAAGGTAGGTCAGGAATAAAAGGGGGCAGGGGAGAGGAAGAAGGAGGGCACATTAATCAGTTTGAAAATGGAGAAAAAGCTCACGGCCGGAGTGAAGTCATGAGTGAAGTATAGGGCCCAGAGCCATCTGGGACACAAACAAGACAGACTCTCCTCATTCAACAATGAAGGATTTAAAGTCATCTTTTTTTTTTTTTTTTTTTTTCTCCCCATTTCCTGCAATGGACCTTTTGTTGGCCGTTGTCTGATCAGACACAGATGATGCAGACAGCGTAATTTACAATCAGATTCTTTCCAGAAATAAAGATGTCACATTCCGACAGGTGATCTGCTAAAACCATAAAACTGTGGCGAGGGTCTACTCAGTGTGTGTATGTGTGTGTGTGTATGCTGTGAAGTAAAGGACAACAAAATGTTGATTACTGTTTTCAATAAAGGCACCACAAACACACTTGACTTGATATATATATATATATATATATTTAGCTATATATATGTATATATATATATATATATATATATATATATATATAGATAGATAGATATTTTTCATTTTAAATAATTAATCTAAACTCTAAATGATAATGTAACTTTTGTTTTTGTGAGAAAATAAAAAGACAGTTAACCCACATGTTGTCTCCTCAGGTAAGCCTGTCATGATCGTCACAGAGTACATGGAGAATGGATCCCTTGATAGTTTCTTAAGAGTAAGTAACTACATGAACACACACGCCATTGTAGAATAAATTATGTTTCAAACGCTTCATTGAATGTTGACCTTCAGTTATTGCTGTTTTGAAACACACACAAAACCAAGTGTAAAAAAGCAAATAATTTAGTTCATTTCTAAAATTTTGAATTGGAAAAAAAAAAAAAAAAAATCAAACTTGTTTAGGAACTTTTTAAAAAGTTGTGCTTTCAGGTAAAAAAAAAAAAAAATCTTGCTGAATTGCAATATGCTCTACTTTTTGTAATGTAGGACATAATAGGTCTTTCTGCTTCAAATAAGATTTAAATTAAATAAAACGTGCAGAGTTTGATTTGACATCAGTCTGTAAACATGCCTAACAGGAGCGCATGGACAGTCTGGAACATGGAGTCTGGAACTTCACTGTATAAGGCCGATTTTGATAAATGACAACATTTTTGACCTCTGCTTTAAATCCATGATGGTGCTTTAATTTTCTCTTTTTTTCCAGTGGTGCTCAAAAAGGAAACCACCACTCATCAGAATGATGGCAACACCCCAGCTGTAATTTAAGCTGATGGGATAAAAAGTTGTTGAGAAAGAACATCGAAAGAGGGACAGATTTTTTTTCCCCTCTGCTCACCGACCAGTCGTATTGTCACTATAATTATTATAGATAAAAAAAAAATAAAAAAAAGCTGTAGCTAGTATTTGCATGAAAACTTACTTGTTTATAGAAAACATTTAACATAATATAAAAAATATAAAAATAAATAAATAATATATACATATATATATATATATATATATATATATATATATATATATATATATAATGTAAAATATATATTTCTCTAAAATGCAAAATTTGAGATAAATAAAACAAATGCTACTATAAAACCTTAAACATGTTCATTTTGGTAAGGCTATTGGCTTCAGCTTAATAACTAAGTAACTGTTTCTAAATTGCTATTTTCATTCTGGCTTAGGCACTGCAGCTGATTGGTTAGGTATTTAAAACATCTTGATATTAGGAAAATATCTTGATTTTGAATCATACACATGCTACAACTTGTCATTTTGTTGGATTCCCTAGCCCTTACCATACATCTATTTATATGTATATATAAAATTGTTTGTAATCCCTTACATAGCTTGTAATTCTTGATACAATGTACATTGTGCAGTTTTTTTTTGTTTTTTTTTTGTCAGTGATGTTTGTACAGATGTGTTCTCTCTGATCTCCCAGTTCAGAGTAAATTATACCTTTGTTGCCGCTAAAATTATCTAAAATACAACAGCCAACTTTAATTCTATAGAAATGTGTGCACGGATGCCTGTTTTATCCATTTTTCCACATGTGCCTGTGTTGTATCCAAACATACCCATGGTGGTTATAGCTGTTATTTTCCAACATTTTCCCGGAGGCCTGTTCTTCATCACTGAAATTGTGTCACACGTACACATGCACGCTCACACATGCTTTATGCACTATGCATCATAGCTTATGTCAGCATCCTGAATCTGCCAAAGCTTTGAAGTGACTAAACCAGGTGGTCTTTCTAATAAAGGCTGCAGATGAAATGGGAGGAGAGGTGGGGCTGATTGGTTTTCAAAGAAAAACACACTCATGCAAACTCATCTTACTCTCAGAGTGCCACATGGTGTTTGACAAGAACGGGGTAAGTCATAGCAAGAGGAAACCAACTGAAGACCACAGACAGAAAACAGACACAAGAAAGAAAGAAAATTGTGATTTACCTAACATACTTCTACTGGTTCTTTGTCATATGATGACTTTATTTTTCTTATCCTTTGTTCATTTTTTTTCCATATAATTACCAGCAACAAGTTACAGAAAACAGTAAATAGTACATCTTTTGTATACAACATAAAAATGTAAAGAAGGAAAGGAAGGATCTCGTTAAATCTCGTTAAGAATATGTCTTGTGCAAATGGTTTTCTATTTAAGTCCAACCTGATGGTTTTGTAGCATAAATATTCAATAAAAGCTGTTTGAAATAATGAAAGAACACTTATTATTTATAGTACAGTAGTCCCTCGTTTATCATGGGGGATCTGTACCTGAAGATGCGCGATAAGTGAAAAAAATGTGAAGTAGGAATAGTAGTACAGGTAGAAAGTAGTAGTTTATTTATATATATATATATATATATATATATATATATATATATATATATATATATATATGTATGTATAGGCATTTTAAACCCTTCCCACACTCTTGCAATATCCTAAAATCAAAACAATGTTTCTAAACTCTCAACGCTCTGAAAGAGCACAGAATGTTATGATTTCAGCTCCCTGTTGCCTCTGGTCTTTGCCACTTGCAAGCGCTCTTGGCCATGCCCACTTATCCATGCTGCACGGAGAACAGCTGATCAGCTGCAGAAGGAAGTTTATCCTGCAATATGGGCTGCACAAAGGTGCAGGAGGTGCTAAATAATTTAAAATAATTTGTTTTAAACAAAAATTCCATGCCGATCTTGCGGCTCATCCATCAATCAGCCATTTGTTTGTCATGTCCAATCTCATTTTGAAAAACCGAGATAGAGCGAGTCTGCAATAAACGAACCGTGAAATACCGAGCGGCTACTGTACTTCCATGTGTTTAAAAATACTTAAATGTAGATTTGAATGGATGCATCAATAAAATAAATATACAGTAACACTATTTTAAAAAATCACTGTAATACCACTGTGATATGTGCTGCTGTTTATCCATGCTGCTGATCTCATGCTGCTGATTATGTCACGCTGCTGTAATCATACGTATCTGCTCACACAGACTCATGTTCGTGCTGCTGTTGTTCGGCGTATTGTTTTGCACTATTAGTGTTTAGTGTATATCTTAGTTCATATCTTAGATACTTATTTACTGTCTCTTTTTACACTTTATATTTTTGCTATTGTTGTATGTAACTGGCCTGTGTGCACAATTTCGTTCCACCTCATTTACCACATGTGGTGAGAATGACAGTAAACCTACTTGAACTAGAACTTTAATACAAATACAAAGTAGTAAAGCGAATGATAGAAAGTTTTGCTTTAAACTTGTTTCATTCTTATGTTCACACATTTTTTGTCCGGTCTTCACAGTTGAAATGAAACACACAATGTCAAAGGTGTTTTTAAAGGTTAATGAAAATCTTTTGGATGCTAATGAACAAAAGGTTCATTTTATGCAAATGCACTTAAAGGTCAAACTCCTTCTTTTGTGTTCATATTATATTATGAAAATAAGACACCGTGCATGATTGTCTGTTCTGTCTTTCTTATATTTAGAAACATGACGCCCAGTTTACAGGAATCCAGCTGGTTGGCATGCTCCGTGGCATCGCCTCAGGCATGAAGTATCTGTCAGACATGGGCTATGTTCACCGAGACCTGGCAGCTCGGAACATCCTGGTCAACAGCAATCTGGTGTGCAAAGTGTCAGACTTTGGCTTGTCCCGAGTGTTGGAGGACGACCCGGAGGCTGCGTACACCACAAGGGTAAGCTGAAACATAAAAACAAATCGCCTACAAAGATGACAACATGAATACATGTGTTGGCCAAAGTCATGGGGAACATCATTCCTTTTTTTATTAGGCGCATATTAAAATAGAACATTATGTAAACTATGTGAATACTGCTAATAAACAGATCCGTATACACAGCTTTTATACTCTTAAGTGGTGAAAGGAGTTGATGAAGGCCACTCCCTCCAGAGAAGTGCTGAATAGATACGACTTTTGGGGGAGGCTCCAGATGATTATTTTTTTATAACATTAACAGCACCCTTTATTTCTAGTTCGATGTCAACAGTGCTCATCGAGGATTAACATAATTTCCTATTATGAGAAAAAAACAACAACAACAACACATTAGAATAAAAAAAAAAAACAACAACCTTAAAGCAAATGTAACAAGCAAATACCAAACTGTGAAACAGTTTTGACTGTCTATTTACTTTTATGTCTCATTTTGTTAATGGAAATTACTTTGTGGGCAGCACGGTGGCGCAACTGGTAGAGCTGCTGCCTCTCAGCGAACAGGTCCCTGGTTCAAACCCCGGTCCAGGGGCCTTCTGGGTGGAGTTTGCATGTTCTCTCCGTGCATGCGTGGGTTTTCTCCGGGTGCTCCGGTTTCCTCCCACAGTCCAAAAACATGCATGTTAGGCTGATTGGTAACTCTAAATTGTCCCTAGGTGTGAGTGAGAGAGTGAATGGTTGTTTGTCTCGTTTGTCTCTATGTGGCCCTGTGATGGACTTGCGACCCGTCCAGGGTGTACCCCGCCCCTCGCACAGTGATTGCTGGACATGGGCACCAGCGACCCCCGTGACCCAAAATGGAATAAATGGGTAAAGAAAATGGATGGATGAATGGATGGATGAAATTACTTTGTATTACACAGTGTACAAAGGAGCCATTTTGAGACAGTTATGAACAATTTAGCCTTTTTTTGTTGTTGTTGTTGACTTCCAGTTTTATTGTGTTTTAAGACACCTAAAAATTAGTGGAGCACATTTCCAACAGCTTCTTACTACTACTTCTTCTTTCGGTTTTTCCCTCTTGAGGGGTATCCACAGCAAGTCATCCTCCTCCATCTCACTTTGTCCTCTGCATCCTCTGTCCTCACTCCAACTACCTTCATGTCCTCTTTACCTGCATCTATATATCTCCTTTTTGTCTGTTTCCTGGCAGCTGCATTTCTAACATCCTTCAACCACTATACTCACTGTCCCTCCTCTGGACATGTCCAATCCATCTCAGTCTGGCCTCTCTAACTTTATCACTCAGTTGTTCAACCTGTGCTGTACCTCTGATTATCTCATTATCTTATCCATCCTTGTCACTCCTGAGGAGAATCTCACCATCTTCATTTCTGCCACTTCCAGTTTTTTCTCCTGTCCTTTTGTCCATGTCTCTGTCTCCAGATCATACAACACAGCTGGCCTCACCACTGTCTTGTAAACTTCTCCTTTGACCTTTGCTGACATCCTTTGGTCACAAATCACTCCTGAAACTTTTCTCCATCGACTCCATCCTGCCTGGACTCTCTTTTCACCTCTTTACCACACTCCCCCATTTTCCTGAACAGTGGACCCCAAGTACTTGAAGTCCTGCACCTTTGTGACCTCTGCTCCTTGTAGCCTCACTGTTCCACCAGCCTCCCTCTCATTCACACATGTACTCTGTCTTACTACAACTGACTCCTCTTCTTTCAAGTGCATACCTCCACCTCTCCAAGTTCTCTTCCACCTGTTTCCTGTTCTCACCACCGATATCATTGCCATCTGCAAACATCATAGTCCACGGGGATTCCTGCCTGACCTCATCTGTTAGTCGGTCCATCATCAAAGCAAAGAAGAAGAACAACTTACTAAGACTCGAAAAACACAAATATTATGAAAGACACATTAAAAGTAAAATGTTCAACTTTTTCAGCAAGTGGAATAATAAAATTATTATTAGCAATGTTTAAAATAATGTGATCATATGATGCAGGCTGAAATAGGTTTAAAAGTAAAAATGTAAAAATATATATTTGGCAGTATGTTTGTATTGTTACTCTTTACTTCTACAGTAAATTTTCAGGACACACATTGAAACATAACAGGAGGAGTTCAGTGGCCGATACTCATCTGTCGTTTTCTTTCCTTTGCGTCTGAGTGAGTGGTCATTTTCATCATCAGGTCCTGTGGTCTAAAACATGCACACAAACCCATTAAAGAAGGGTATAATTTTATGGCTGAGAACTGCTCATCAAGTGAACAGTGTGTGGCATTTCTGTTGGTGCCAGAAATACATCAAATGAAACAATAAGGAAGAGCTAAATTAATTGCACCATGTTCCATTAACTGACAAACGCTCCTTGGGATTCATCTTTTTTTCCTCTTTTTTATTGTTACAACTTTTTTCCTATTTGTATGCAACGTGTAATTTTATATTTGCACATTTCAAAGTAAGTGTGGGAAGCTGTCAGTTTGTGTATCATTCTTAGTGCACTTTAAATTATTTCTGCAACCATTTGTCTGGTTGCGTGTTTTACTGTCTCATGTGTCTCTTAGCGTTCCCATAGACATCAGTCAGTGTAAGAATGTGATTTTTAAATAGAAATGTGACTTTCTGCACAGTCTGAAGCTAAAAATGACTGACTTGGCCAGCCTGTTCATTAGCTTTGGCTGCTGTCAGCCTCGTTCCTTTAACTCTATTTCCCTAATTTGTCCTGCTTGTCAGTTAGAATAACAACCTCGTTACACAATAAGAAGTCACACAGGAAGCATCGGATTAAAATTAGATTTATGTGTTTTCCTTTTTCTTGTAAGGCTGTTGCTAATACATTCTAATTAAACTGGAACTTGAACTTTATTTTGGGTACAAACTAGCTCTGGAATTTTTATACAAACATTTAAGCTGTGGAACCTATTTAGCATTTTAATTTATAACTTTGTGAAAGTGCACAGAATCTCTAATACAATAGGATTTTAAAAATGCATATATAAAATATAATTTGGTTAATCTGCATTTGTTAAATTTGTTAATATAGATGGTGATGAGTATTCAGTTTACTAACTGAATGACATTAAAACTGATCACTGATCAGGTAGACTGATTTGATTATTCTGTTTTTAACTTCTCTCAGGGAGGAAAGATTCCCATCCGGTGGACCGCCCCAGAGGCTATAGCCTACAGGAAGTTTACATCAGCCAGTGATGCTTGGAGTTATGGCATTGTGCTCTGGGAGGTGATGTCATATGGGGAACGGCCATACTGGGAGATGTCCAATCAGGATGTGAGTGCTGCCAATTTGCCATTCTTTGTAAGAGGGTAGACACTAAACTTCCTTTCAGTGGAGGAGCTCTTATTGTGTGCCCAGTGTGCTGGCAGCTTTGCAAGAGCTTCATTGGTAGGATGAAGGATTCCCTTACAATCAAAGAAGCTTGTGCAAAGCAGAATGAATCATCAGCAGCTAATTAAATGCTTAGCTTGCCTTAAAGAAAAAAAAAAAAAAAACGAGGAATACATTGGCTGAAGTAGCATTTTACAAACTCTGCAGGCATTTGCTTGTATAAATCTTGTCATTTTTTTGGTTAGATAGTTCTTTTTTTTTTTTTTTTTTTTTTTGGATTATATATGAATTGCACATGCATTTTAACTGATTTAATTTAGAAATGTTCTAAAATATAAAGTTTTTACTTATAAAGTCCTGTACTAAAAAAAATTAAATGTGTGCAATGATTTGCCATTATCCATTGTATTATTATTATTATTATTATTATTATTATTATTAATATTATTATTATTAAGATCCCAAATGATCTTTTTTATCAGCATAAATCTGAGAAAATAAAACATGATGATTCAAAAGGAAAACTAAATAAAGCAAATAAACCAAACTAAATAACAATGTCTGTTTTTGGATGTAGGTAATAAAAGCTGTGGATGAGGGTTACCGCCTACCTCCGCCCATGGACTGCCCTGCTATGCTCTACCAGCTGATGTTGGACTGCTGGCAGAAAGAGCGAAACAATCGGCCAAAGTTTGAACAGATCGTCAGCATCCTTGATAAACTCATCCGCAACCCTGGCAGCCTCAAAATAACAGCAAACACTACAACCAGGTATCAGGATATTGAATCTTTCATTGTGTTGTTGCATTGTGGAAGAGCAAATCAGCAAAAGACAAACTGGCTCTGATGCCCTGATATGCTGGTGTAGTGCTTTCAAAACAACACATTCTTTGGAAATTCCTCTGAGCCAATGAAAACCTTCTTTTGTTAGTTAAACAAAAAAAAAAAAAAAGTTTTTGCGTCTGGTTTCCGTTCATCAGGCTAACAGATGTTTTCATACTGCATATACAAACATCTGTTAATAGTAAACTAAACATACAGCAGCTTTGGTTCTTTTCTAGACATAAAATGTTGCACGCTGTGATCAAAAGGAATTTTGTTTATTATAAATGACAGTCAATTTAGAATAAATGATAAATTTTTAAGAAAGTGCAGATTTTGTGAAAAAGCCGATGGGAAGTGATTATTATTGTTATTGGGGACTGCCTAGTATAGGCAGTGCACCTATTGTTATTCACTAGGGTTTCTTAACTTTATTTATTTATGACTTACTTTTCTGTCAACTTTAATGCAGCCCGAATCGCAACGTTTATAAAAGTTATATCAAACGACCGGCTCGGCATCGTGATGCTTGCTATTACTTTTCTTGGTGTTTTGGTGTGTGTGTGAATCTGAGAACAATCCCAAATAGACTCTGACTGAAATTCAAAAATCCAAGATACTCAGCTGATCTAAAAAGGAAAAAATACTATATATCATCTCGTTTCAGTGATATTGAGCTGAAATTCGGTGTGATAATAGCTGAGAATATGTCACATCAAATAGCACATCCAAATCAAAAATCCAAGATTGCCACCAAAGCTACATTTATATAACATATATAATTTATTTAATTGAGCCATTTTTACACATTTAGAGCTGAAATTTGGTGTGGTTATAGCTGAGAGTGTTCCTTATCACATACTGAATCCAAATCAAAAATCCAAGATGGCCAACTTAGCTAAAAGAAAAAAAAAGACTAATTCATTGAATTTTTGCCAAATTGAGCTGAAATTGAGTGTACTGGCAGCTGAGAGTGAACAATGACACATAGTACTGTCAAATCAATTGTTTAAACCAGCAGCAGCGTAGCAGTCCCCGTCAAAATTTCCCCAGGAACTTTCTAGTTATTATTGTTTTCTATGCATACCCCACAACAAAAATTCTCATCTGGATTTTTAAAATTGTATTTTTATTTTATTTAAGCACTGCTTGTGTTGTAGTACTCTCTATTTTTTTCTTTGTTTTCACATTTTTCCCCCTTTCCCTTCTCCCTCTCATGGGCCCATCGCCTTTGTTGGGACCACACTTATCCCAGGGGGCTGTGGGGAAGCAGGGCAGCACATGTACAGTTGTCAGTTCTGGGCAGGCAGGGAAACGGCCGTTGGGTCTGCAACAGACGGCGATAGTATTATGGAGATGTCAGACCTCATAACATTGACTAATGATTTCTTAAGAAAGTGAAAATAGGTCCCTTGGAGTTTGCATGTAATTTTCTTGATTGGCTTTTAACACTGGGTGAGCACAGCCTGGCCAGCGGAGTCCTGTGCAGTGATTTATTAGAGCTCTGTGTGCAGATCTGTGTGTGTGTAGGTTTGTGTGTGTGTGTGGTGGCAACGGCAGTTGCACAGCGGGAGCAGCTGCACTTGGCTCAAAACACCTCGTTTGTCTCAGGGCTGTCCAGGCTGGCTAATGCACTCCCCCCCCCCCCCCCCCCCCCCCAAAAAAAAAACCAGACCAAAGCCTGCGACCAGAGTCGAGCATCTGGAGTCCTGGGATGCAGGACCTGGTCACGGTTTACAGTCTCTGCATGTGGACAGAAAAATAGTGTGGTCTTCAGGCCATAGATGGCTGTCAGAGACCAATGATGGGTTAAGAAGAGTCCATCTAGGGGTGAAGGTCACAGTTAAAATCCTTAACTAAAAGATACATCTGAAAATATTTATGTTTTTGTTCCTAAAGTCCATAAAAAGTGGCTACAGTCAAACTTTTAAAAGCTTATCTTTAATATGTAGTAATTAAGAACAATCTGTACATGTCAGCAATGTTAAACTTTAGACTTAGCTTACATTGGAAATTTATGTTGTAGTTTTTTTATTTTATTTTATCTTATAAGGTATAAAAGGCACTGACTCATATGGCTTCATTTTTTTACCATCGTGTTTGGTTTTATTATGTGTAGTATTCGGAATTTGGAAACATCAAACTTCAAGAGAACAATGGGACTTTTTTTTAGGGTTGGGCCGAAGATTTGCAGAAATGTTATTATTATTATTATTATTTATTTATTATTTTTTGACAGGGACAATGCACACAAGCATATACAGAGCAAGTATGTGACTGCTGTGTTGCACAAAGAGTATAGAGCTATAGCTAATTCGCTACTCCAGTCCCTGGTTGGGCATTTTTACACATTAAAATATGTACACTTTATCAATTAAAATACATTAAGAATACATATGTATTCATGTCTACATATTCATGTAATCAACCTAACAACCTCCAAATTCCTATAATAAAAAATATACATTAAAATACAAACAATTTAAAAATCTAGGCACAATAAAAATACAAAACATTTTCCTCTCTACAAGTTCCAAAATAACCTTGCAACCTCCAAATGTATATTAATATCCTTGCACATCCTCAATACCTCCCCATCCTCACACATTCAGCTAACATACCAAAAATGGTGAATATAATACTAACTCACTAATACATACACTCCCACAAAGACTGTCTCATCCATAAAATGTGAGTATTAAAAATGATCACATCTTTGATTTTACTTTAGCCAAGATTTAGTCATGTAAACAAACTTTTTTTTTAGTTCAGGTGTAGCTTTTACATGTGGCAGCAGTAAGTTCCATAGTGTTGTGCTTTTATAGGAAAAAGAGGTCTGACCAAACGAGGTTCTACATAGGGGAGTTATGTGATTTTGTTCTAATGATCCTCTAGTTCAGTTTAAATGAATTCAATGGATCAGGAGCTAACTTGTTGATACACGTAAAAATGTATTTAAGAAAACATAAATTACAACAGTTTTCAAAATTCAGTAAGTTATGTTTGTCCAGAATTAGACAGTGATGTGATCTTATTGGCTTTTTGTCCATTACTTTTATTGTTTGGTTATACAATGAGACCATTGGCTTAAAAGCCATTGTGGTAGCCTGGGCCAATGTTGTCATGCAATATGAGATAGGAGAGAATATCATGGCATGCATATACCGAATACAAAGTATGTTTCCTAATATTGAGCTTTAGAGAAAGAGGCTAACAAATTATACTTTTGAAAAACCTCTGGCCAGCAATATAAAATATAATTTTCAGACGAAACTATTCAAATATAGAAAGTGGCAACCTGATATTAGGGAAATATAAACAGAAATTGACTGTAAGTAGAGTATGCTGACTATAGCTTACCAGTAGTTTACTTGTAGAATCATGGTGTAAGATTGGATAGATACTTCAGATTTAGATTTTAGAGTCAACATACCTTTCCAAACAAGGGCCACATGCAATAATGAATCAACCCAACATCAGACTCCACCAGAGTAACACATCCATATATATGTTCTTCTCTTGCTGCTCTGCCCGCTTGTGCTTTATGTGTTCAAGTTCCCTTCAACAAGATGTTTTCTGTTCCCTCTGAGCTTCATGAAGACAAAATTATACAACCTTGTTAGAATAAAATAATATGAAAGATGTCTATAACAGAACAGGAAAAATTTTGGCATAAAACATACTATTTTTATTGTGGTGCTTTTATGCTTCTTTCTTTTGAATTGGGGAATTTTCTGCATCTCTATATGTTGTTAAACCCACAAGAGGTTTTAGAACCATCCTCTGGCATCAAATAGATACTTTTTTATTTGTTCTTCAATTCACCCCTTCTGTTCAAAGCAGTTTCCTCTCCAATAGTCGTGTCTCTTGAGTTGCTGTGAGATGTTGCTCAAAATGTAACAACATAGGAAACAAAGAATGATAAGAGAGGCAATACAAGGTCATTTGCAGTTTACATCCCAGCGGATGCAGCAGAGGGGGTGGAAGTAAGCAAAATACAGAGAACGGGAGGAAGGAACACAAAGAATAGTGGTGCAGGTGAGAGAAACGGAAAAAGATCGATAATCCTGCAAAAAAAAAAAAAAAGTTTGAAATCTTACTTTGGCTACTCCATAGTGTAATACATTGTGCATGTGTGTTATTTGCAGTCCTCTTTTTCTTGCAGTTGTTCATCATCAGGGGCCAGTCTTTGTAAATATTTTATTTTAGTCTACAGATATAAAATTGCACAAAAGAAAGAACAAAAAATAGATAGATTTACTCAATTTACTCAGATTTACTACATTTAGATACTCTCTCCTTACATTGCCTCTTATGCAAGTCGCCCCCTCCATCTAGCTCCACATTCTCTCCTTTCAGATGAACCAGGGTTTCCAGGGGGTCCTAGGGGTCTTGCAACATTTTGACAGGCCTCTGATCTGGCAGGAAAAGACTCAATCATTGTAAACACACCCACTCCACCACCTCAAGAGCCTCGTTTTTCTCTCCTCCTTTTTTCTTTTCTCCTCCTGTCTGTTTGAGATCCAGTGTCTCTTTTCTTCTCCCAGTGCACCATCATAGCTCAGCGTGGTGCTTTTGACAGTGTTGTCTAATGGCAGGCTGGTGAATTTGTTTCGATTGCATCTTTCTTATCTAAACCAACCTACAGTACTGTATACTGCAACATCATGAATTTTGCAGACAGCCTTCCCAGTACACATGAATACTGAAACATATCTATTCTTCCAATGTGGTGGTGGGGTGCTTTTGCTTGTGTGAGAGCACAGTTTTCTCATATATTTAATGTTTTCCTGAAATACTATAATATTAAAGTTTTACAAATATAAATTCAAGAGTAGAAGCAAAGTATATTACATATTCTTCAACCTTGAAAAGTGAAAGCTCTAAAATTTGACAGCTAAAATATAATAAGAACATCCTAAATTTAATCAGATATATACGTTTGGAAGTCATGCATGTCTTAGATTTTAATAGTCTTTAACCTACCTTATTATACTGTCTAAATTTAGTGATATTTTGCTTCTGAGTAGTTATTTTCTCCATAACACAAACATATATCCAAAATGACTCCAAACTTCCCTGCGGAATCAGCTAAGCCTGGCAGAGGTGGACTTCCAGGTATTCTAATGAGTTTGTTTACTTTGCTATGAATAGTATTCCCCAAGGGAGAGCCACCTTTTCTTTCTGTCCTCCATTTCCCTGCTTTGTTCTATTCCCATGTGTGTGCGTGTGTCTTCCTACAGGTGCTTTTTTTGTAATTTGCAAGACAGGTGCAGGATGTCCTTAAAAAGAACAGAAAAAATGTCATTACTCTCAGTTTGATCTAACGTGGTTTGACCTGGTTTCCTAATTGTTGCAGTTATGTGATCTAGTTTCCTGAAACCACATTTATTTAGTATCAGGAGTGATACTGAAAGTTTGACACATCATGTTTGTAATCCCCCTTTCCATGCTCCTCTCATGGAAGAGAATAACTGTACTGAAGCTGGTGCTTGACACCGGCTATTGAATTTAATTCGATTCAATTCAGTAAAATTCAATCTTCAGCTCTCCCACATGGAACATGTGCTGTAATAAGTGATCCAACAATGTTCAGTCAAGCCATTGGGAGTTTTTTTTTTGGTTTTTTTTTGAGATTTTTCGTTCTTCATCAAAAGGCCTTCATCTCTCTGAGGAACTACAGTAAACTGAGTCCTGCAAGCAGCACACCTACATAGTGGATCAACCAGTATGCTAGTGATAAGATGGTTTCTGGGGGCCGCCCTCTCCCCTGTCGACTCCTCTGAGGTAGCCATGGCCAAAGTGGTTCAAAACATCAAAGTTCATGCTCAATAATCCAGGTAAAACTGGTTAGTCCACTATTGGAGTGTGCTTCTTGTGGGACTAAGTTTATTGTGGCTCCTTGGAATGAAGAAGTCCTTTGGATGATGGATGAAATGTCTCAAACAAAAAAAAAAAAAGAAAGAAAGAAACCATACAGATGACTTGTCTGAACATTGTTGGATATGATGATGATTTTCATGTCACATTCTGTAAATAAAAACAGAAGTTACTAAATCTAATATAGACAGAGAACTGTGAATAAAATGCTGAGGTGATAATGAGAGCTGACAATTTGTGTGGGAAAATTCTAATCATTTTGGCCATTTTGCATGAATGTCCCAGTGCAACACATTAAAAAAGAACCTATTCTAGCAGGGAGAGTGGTGGCACAGAGGTTAGAGAAGTTGGGCATGTGATCGAAAGATCGCCAGTTCATCTCACGGTAATGACAACATCATCATGTGGGTGAGATAGATGAAGCACCCACACCTGCCTCCACCCTCCTTTGCCCCAACTCTGGGCCCTTGAGCAAGGCTCTTAACCTCCACCATCTGCTCCCCTAGGCACCCTAGATAGCAGCTCTCTGCTCTACACAGAGGGCTGTGGTAGCTCAGTGGTCTGTGATTGCATCAGGAAGGGTATCCGGTGTAAAAATAATTGCCAAGTCTCTGTGCTGCTTAGTTGCCGTGGCGACCCCTAGAAGAAGGGAGCAGCCAAAAGAAAAAAATATATATAGCAGGGCTTCATACAAAAATGTAGTCTTTGATAGCCCATGTCACTTATGATAGTATAAATTTTTTAAACTAAAAATGTGCCAAAAATGACTTGCTTTGTTTCTTTCTTTCTTTTTTACTAAACTGCAACAGAACTAAGATAAGAACTAAAGATAAGTCTAAAATGTCTAAAGTTCATTGATATAAAAACACCTTCGTGTTTTCTAGCTGCTGGTCCCCTAATATATTTGTTATATCACCACTGCCTGGTGGTCACTGATTATTATTATTATTTTTTGTATTAGATCTGACATTTTAAAACATTCTGAATAAACTATTGGGAGTATATTTTGAAGTAAAGCGTATGAGACAAACTCCTTCCAACGGCAGTCATTGTGCACTTCTGTTTGAATAACAAGATGTCATGTGTCCTGTCTCCATAAGGCCCACCTTAAGGTTTTGACGCCCCTTGGGAACAATATATTTCAATCATTTGCTGTCCTCATCTTTGCTTGCATGCTGTGTGTTTTAGAAGTCAAGCTTAGAGAATTTGCACACACTTTATATTCACATAGTCATAGCAGAAGCTCTGTTACACAGGTTGACTGCTGGCTAGACAGCATCTGTCAGACAGTATATCAGATTGTCAGCTGATGATCAGGGTGATGCTTATCCACCTGTTCTTCTGAAGCTATGCTGTGAATGCTCATGTCATTTAATAGTTTTGTTCGCCATCACTTTTGAGTGTGTTTGTTCCTATTTTGAACATGTGTTAATGTCACTCTTTTCTCCCAGACCAGCCAACTTATTGTTGGACAGGAGCAGTGTGGAAGTTCCATCCATGGGGACGATGGGGGACTGGATGGATGCAATGAGGACCTTGCCTTGTAAAGAGGCCTTCTCTGGGGTCAGCTACAGCTCCTGTGATACTCTGGCCAAGACCTCAACAGAGTAAGACAACAAAACAGACAGGATATGCATTAGGGCATAACATTAGGTCTTCTGTAACATTAATTTGTTGTGTTTAGATGCAGAAATGACTGATAGAACATTAAAAGAGAAAAAAAAAAATAAAGCAGAATGAAAAAAAGAGGAAAATGGCAACACATGCGAACAAGTAGAACATCTGTTACTAAGATGTCAGACTGTTGAGGGACAGAAAAAAGACTGGGTATTTGACAAGATGAAAGACTGCAGAGGGAAGCCTTTGAAAGAGTAAATGAAGACGTAGCTGTCAAACAGGTGGGCAAAGAAATGTGCCGTGAAGCATTAAAATGCAAAAATGAAAGAAAGATTACTTGAAAGTATGGAAGTCATGAGTTAAGAAACAAGTGTGTGAAATTTATAGGAGAGCAGATAAAATATCCTGAAGTTAGAATCACTAAAAATGGCAAACGTAAATAAAGTAATGTTCTGACAAGTGGATCATCTGTCTGGCCAGATTTAATATAGTGTGCTAAAATGAGACGCTCACAGATAAAAAGCTTAACTAATTAATAAAATAAAATTGCAGGACATCAGTTCAGCTACTTGACCTATCTAGTTTTCTTGTTCCCTCTTTTCTCTCTTTCATTCCAGCCCCTCTTCTGCCCCTCCCTGTTGCTCTGCTGCTGCTTTAATTGCTGTGTGATGTGAGGGGAAATAATTGGACATTTTTAATCGCTGTGATCAAAGCAGCCATTCATCATGGGGATGGGGCAAAAGTGGAGTGGTGGTCAGTTCTACTGTGTGCTGGTGTAGCTTCTTGATTATCCAATGCATTTGACAGATCAAAAATAATAACTGGACTACAGAATAGAAATCCAATTGTTTCTTTTTTTCTTCTTCTTTTATTTAATACTGTATTTGGGGATTTACAGGTTGCTGTAACTCAGCAGTGTTCAGTCAGGTCATCTGGATGGTTTATTTTTTTTTTACTTTTTTGCTGAGATGTTTTGTCCTTCATCCAAAGGACTTCTTCAGTCCAAGGAGCCACAAACAAAGTGGGGTCCCACACGCAGCACACTCCCACCGTGGGAAACAAACAAACAACAACAACAAAAAAAAGTTTGCTGGTGATAAGATGGTTTCAGGGACCCGCCCTCTCTTCCATCAACTCCTCTGAGGCAGTCAAGCCAAAATAGTTCACAACACCAAAGTTCATGCTCAATAATCCAGTTACAAATCCAACAATGTCCAGTCAGGTCATCTGGATGGTTTATTTTTTTTGCTGAGATGTTTTGTCCTTCATCCAAAGGACTTATTCAGTCAGAGGAGCCACAAACAAACTGGAGTCCCACAAGCACCACACTCCCATAAAGTACTCCCAGGTGCTGGTGGGACTCCAGTTTGTTTGTGGCTCCAGACTTAAAAAAAAAGTCCTTTTGATGAAGGACAACATCTCAGCAAAAAAAACAGTCCAGATGATCTGATTGAACATTGTTGGATTTATACCTGGATTACTGAGCATGAACTTTGTTGTTTTGAACCATTTTGGCTTGGCTGCATCAGAGGAGTTGACGGGGGAGAGGGCGGGCCCCACGAAACCATCTTATCACCAGAAAATTGTTTTGTTTTTCCACTATGAAAGTGTGGCACTTGTGAGAATCCAGTTTGTTTGTGGCTCCTTGGCTTGAACAAGTCCTTTGGATGAAGGATGAAATGTCTCAGCAATAAAGAAACCGTCCAGATGACCTGACTGAATATTGTTGGATTTGTATTTGGATTATTGAGGATGAACTTCAGTGTAATTCAGCAGGTTTGCAAAGTTGATAGTTCCTAAATTGTTGAACTAAAACCTTTAGAAGGAAGGACTCTGTAAAGAGAAGCCTTAAATAGCAATATACGTTTTAATTAATACCATTTTGTGTCCAGCAGTAGACCCATGATGATTTATTCACCACAGGGACAGCTCCTTAATATTGCAATTCATTAAGTGTTGATTCATCTTTCCTTTTTTCTTATATTTTTCTCTGTTGTACTGTCAGATGAATATACAGAAAGGTTTTTATTTATTTATTATTATTATTATTATTATTATTATTATTATTTAATGAACATTGTAAGTTCCTATCTGTCAACAAGTTAAAAACAAAAACCTACAGTGCAGTTTGAAGTGTAGGAAAAAATCCACAATGTGAAATGAGAAAGAAATTGCATCATAGACAAACTGTGCCCGAATAACCTTACAGTATAAAAAATGTGTTGATCTACAATGACTTTCCTGTGGGTTTATACTAAATTAGATCAGTGCTGTAATAATCCACTGAAGGCTCTGTCTGAGACACCGAAGCTCAGCTACAAAAGGCTAACAGCTTTTCCTCACTATGTGTTGCTCAATATGGATCGCTCTATTGATTTCTTCCATTTTAATCTAGTCCTTGATATTCAGCACAAGGAGGATTGGCAAAGCTCTGACCTCACACGAACAGTTATACTTGGGAAAAGAGTGCTGACTCATCTGTTGGAGTAATAGATTTTTTTTTTTTTTTTTTTTTTTTTTTAGGACAGCATGGTCTGATGAGAAAATACAGCTTCATTTTAATTATTTGCTGCATCTGCACAAAGTGCATGTAAAGTTCATGGCAGATGTTTTATTGGGAATGTGATGAACTTGACTTAAAGTATTAGACACAGGAATATAGACTGTAAGTTTATTTCACAATGGAATGCATTAGACAGAAATTGAACTAAGAGCATCAATGCAATGGTTTTAAGCTTATCATGTTGAGACACTTCTATCAAACATTCATTTAGGAGAAAACAGAGCGTTGAACTTGGAAAATGAACTGGCCATAGCCATAATGGACTGCAACTTAAACAAAATGAACATTTCAAATGGTTCATTTTAGGGAAAATATTGGAAAGACAAAATATAAAAATAAAATTTAAAACAACGGTATGCAATAGAGGACTTGCGACCCGTCCGGGGTGTATGGATGGAGATAATGGATGGATGGATGGATGCAATAGAATAATTCCAGTGGCTAAGATAATTTAGTATATCATTGTTCTAGTTAAAATAACCCAGTGGGAGGTTTCTACTGGGATGATTACATTTCTTAATCTAATGCGATATCACTTATTTATGTATCTATTGTTGAAAGGTACGAACACCTTTCTCCGGGTTGTTTGGATCGAGTGGTATCACCAGGAGACTTCACTTTAGTTTAAGAGAGTTTTAATACACACCACAGTTAAAGTATTACAAAAACAAAGTACTGAAATGCATTTCAGGAGACAATAGAGGTGTACTTCACCTGAGAAGTTGCTCTGCTCAAGATTGTCTGACACTACTTCCTGTTTTAGGATAATATAAGCTCTTCATGAACCCGCCTCCCTCTTGGAGGGGGATCTTCTCTTATTGGCTGACCACCTAGTCAGTCTAAGGTTACCTTGGCAACCACACAGTCATATTTCTTATCTTTCAAGGAAAAACTAGTTTTAACTGGCTTTTGGTACCAGTCTCGAAAGTTACTTTTCTTTGTTCTCTGTCTACAGAAAAACGATTCAGCCCCTCCTTCCTGCTCAGTGCTGTATCTATGCAAACAAGTTTTCAACCTCTATGTGATGAAGTATAAGTGAACAGTTTATAACGCACACAAATAGATAGGATGTGAATAAAGTAAAAAAAATATAAAACTATACAAAAACTGAACACACAGAGTACAGAATAAAGTGAAAACACAGTGTATAAAATGTCCAGTGAATAACACACCCAGCCTGTCTATTCATCACTATCCATCCAGTTAGTTAGTTAGTTAGTTAGTTAGTTAGTTAGTTAGGTAGGTAGTTAGATAGTCTTTATAGGGTACCTATCTCATTGTGGATTTGAACTACTGTTATTCTGAAATGTTAAATTTTGTGCCTGCTGTACATGTTTTAATTTATTTTTTTAATTAATCTTAAGTATATTTACACAGAATGTAACAACATACTGAAAGTAATATGTTTAATTGTCTGAAGTTGATTTTCCAATTACAGTAAAGGTTTTGATATGCATACTCCTAAAACTACTGTAGATAGATTATTAGAAAAACTGAGCACTGTAGCATTTGCCAGTTTATATTACTGTGATAGTGTTACAGTTTAGTTAAATGGAGCAATAGTTGAGCTGCTTTACTAGAATGATGCTGACATTTAAAATACATTTAAAACATAAAAAAAGAAAAAATGGCTGCTTCCTTCTGCAGGGGTTGCCACAACAAGGAAACTTCATGAAATATTTGGCTATCACTTTACAGCTGATGACAATATTCAAGAAAAAAACTAATATTAATTAACAACAGATCATGAATGATACCACCAATTCAAACTACCTTCCTGTATTAATTTATTTTATTAGAACAAGCATCCCATTCCATTTAAGATGTACCAATTTTGCTGATTTCCTGTTATATTGTGTTAATGTTGCTGGGCCTGGCTGTTTCTCAGTAGAGTGGTTCTGACGGAGGTGCACATCACTCCAGCCACATGCCCAGAATGGGAGCCATCCATGGGAATCACCACCCTCTAACACCTAGTGCCTCTCCATCCTACTCAGGCTGGATGGTGGGTTGAGGACCAAAGGTTATGTCAGCCCGTGGCTCCTTAAGAGGAATCAAAACAAGCAAACTTACATTTAAACTGATGCTGGGCTTTTACTCACAAAATAAAACCTATTAATGGCTGAAAGTCTCATAGAAAAGCTATAATTTTGCCTGCAATGCCACCGCTTTTACTAATGCAATCAGTTTATTTATTTTTTTTTGCAAAAAAAGTTGTCTCTTAACATATAACACTTTTGAATAACTTTAGTCTCATATATGCTTTTTATATTGGTGTGTATTTTGTGTACTTTGAAGTTGTTGCCAGACAATGTTTAGAAATGAGAAATTGGAATACAACTAATTGTTTTATGCTTTTCACGTTTAGGCTTCGTAACACACCTAACAATCTCAATGTCAGTATTTTAAATTGTTTTCCTAAATAGATTTTTTTTTTTTTTTTAAATGAATGCATGTATCACACAAATCTTATTATAGCTTGCAAAATATTAACAAGATCCACATGATTTAGTGTTATGTTGTAGACATGTTCCAGTGCTGCTTATCTCCACTCTTTTACACTCCACACTTTTGAAGAAATCCAGAAAACTGGGGTATTTCTGCACCAAGCCCATTGCATACCATCTTATTCCTTCTTTGACAAGGTCATAATGGCAGCTGTCAGTGTTGCCTTATGGGAAATGCAGTATTTTGTGAATGACAGCTTCACACAACAGTGAAGAGAGCAGCACGAGGAGCATGCCATTAAATGTCAAACAAGTGTCACATTCACCGTCACTAACACTTTTTTTTTCATTTTTCCCTCGTTTTTTTTTTTTTTTTCTCTCTGTCTGATTGTGTCCCTTCTTTCTCCCTCTTCTTCAAACACCAGGGATCTGAAAAAGGCTGGAGTGACTGTTGTAGGACCACAAAAGAAGATAGTGAGCAGCTTGAAAGCCCTAGATTCCTATACCAAGAATGGTCCAGTACCTGTTTAAATAAACACAAACAAAAAAAAGAAAAGAAATGAGAACTACCAGCGACCACTCAGCTGGTCTGTGCTGACATAACGCAGTGACTACATATTTTAACTACATGAAAATGCAAATGGAGGCTGACAAAGATACCATCCATGTGAGATGGTTTTCCCTGTTTTGGGGAACGACAAGATTCCGACAGAGAAGTGGAAACGAGTTCAGCACAGACCTGCCAGTTACTAAACTGGCTGACAACCTTCTTCCTCCATGCCCAAGTCAAGATGCCTTACAGACTAAAAGAGGGGTAAAAAACACATTGAGGATCCACAAGAAGGTCAAAAAGACATGATCAGGAATACAAACTTGGTCTCTTTTGGGATACAGGGCAAGAACTAACACAAAGCTGGAACTCTCCATGATTGTGGCCTAGCCACAGAACCCCAGAGTAGCAGCCGGTGAAAAGAGGCAGTGAAATAACTGAGATGCTTTGTGAACAGCATGACAGACGGCTACAGTTGCCTGGATGTGGACTTAACCTGGATTGGTGAAGTATAAGGCTGGAAAATACATCGCAGCTACCTACATTTAATGTCTCTGTCCATCAGAAGACTTAGTCGGTATGGACACACCTAGACGCTAACCGAGCCATTTTACTCTGTAGCTGTAACTTAAAGCATTTGCATTGATTAGAATCACCACATGAAAGCAATAACATTATAATCCATCAAGAACTTTTATTGTATGGGAATCATGGGTCTGTCTTATGTGTAATGTACTGAATGCTGTGCTTGAAAGTACAGTAGCCATAACACAATATACACACACAGAGTTTTCTTTATGGTGACATGTTCTATGTGCTGATGTTATGTTCCTTTTTATTCCTTACCACCCAATACCCTCTGTGTGGAATCTCAGGATGTTTTCTCCAACAAGAGAAAACTAACAGGACTGCAAGTTACAAACTGTATGATGGAAAATAAGTAAGATCAAAATGGCGGCAATGAGAACCCGTTAGATAAGGCAGTCAGCCGTTTGTCAAAAGTGGATGTTTAGCAGAAGTATTTTAAAGTGAGTTTAGGTTTGAGATTTTTTTTTTGGAACGATGAGTTTGCACCATCAATTCCTCTTAAGAGCAGATGTTATGTCCTTGCCTGTGCAAAATCAGTTTAAACAATGTTCAATTTGAGGTCATTGTGAACAATATTTGTACCGTACAATAATTACAAAAGCCATGTGAGATATTCTTTTTTATTATTATTTAATCCAAAATTAGGTTAAATTAGTTTGATATAGTGCAAAAAAGTAGTTTTAACACCCCAAATCATTTTGCTTTCCATGCAAAAAGTTGAGTGCCTCCTGTTGTTGGGGTTGATCATGGGGAGATCAACAAGCAAAAACCTTGTATTTGTTTTGATTTTTAGAAAGTTCATCTTGTGTTTTCAGGGTCAACCACCAACCACCCCATTCTGATTAGGTCTAAAAAGGTCCTAAAAAAGATGCAATTGTTTAAATAGAATCATTTTCTGATAGAGTATCCTTACATTTTCACGGTGGGCTTTCCTAAAGGCACCTTAAATATCTTTGTTTAAGGAAGTACATGTTTAAAGATGCTAGTCTCCTGCTTTAATGTCACCCAGCTGGTCCCTCAGTGCAACACTTGCCCAGTATTTTTGAACTGACACTTTGATACTTCGTGCTCTTGGATGCATAACGTTTAAACGTGAAGATGCTGTTACGATGCCTCTTTAAGCACTTGGTACACATTACTGTAGCACTTTGAATGACGGTTCTTACCTTGGCTGTAGACTAAGCTTGATTAAAGCACAGGGGTGCTGTTGGTGCTTTTGGGAAACCCAGCCCTGTTCAGTCAGACAGACTGTGGATGCTGCTGTTGCTGATATGCGTTTTTTTTTTTTTTTAATAGCATGTACATAATGTAAAACCATCATAAAGAGAGCAACTAGCACTGCAGATTCCATTGTGTGTACATCGCCATCTTTTTTTTTCTTTTCTTTTTTGTGCAAATGTTTGTATGTATAAAAGACCGGATAAAAATTGTGCAAGATTTTTTTATTAAAAAAACCAGACAAAAATCATTTGTATTATATTTTATCTTTCTTTGAATTATATTTTTCAGCTTTTTCTTTTACAAAAAAAAAAAAGGATTATGATTACTTTATTTATTTGCTAACATTTTACATTGCATTGATTATTATTTTCTTTTTCAAAATAGAGTAAATCATTTGTCCGTGTTGTCCGTGTTATGATTTTTTTAACATACTTTGTAAACCTGAAGCATCTGAAAGAGCAATACTGTTACGAATACTTTTCAGATCCCTAATTTTGTGTCTCAAGACTGATCTGTGTGTCTGTGTGAGAGTTTATGTGTGCAAATGTAGATGGCCTTGTCTACTAATGTAAGATGGTTTGTAGTGAAAACATTTATATTTTTATAATAAATATTCACAAAATATTTTCCAAAAAATTGGATGATTAAATACTTGGTCATGTCTTTTTTTTTTAATTATATATTTTTTTATTATGTTGTGCCATCAAACCTGTTAGCTAAAATGTCAACATTGATCAGATCACATGTAGAATATCCACGTCTACTGCAAGTCATCTGACTGATATCAGTAAATACTGCACATCAATGAGGTAAGCAATGTTTTTGTTGTTGTTGGTGTTGTTGTTGGTGTTGTTGTTGTTGTTGTTGTTGTTGTTGTTGTTAATCCAGAACAAGTGTGTGCATTTAGATTAGTTAGCAGAAACAAATACCGTTACTAGCATTTGTACAAATCAATATTATTCCACAATTTATAAAAAAAAAAGTTGTAAAAGCACAATGAGTAAATGTACCATCGATTACTCTTAGCTATTTTAAACTAAACACTGTGAAATGACAAGTATGATGGTATTTTGAAATACATAGTTGTCTATAATTTAGTCTGGCATACATAAAATAAGGAAAAAAAAAGTTTTATTTTATTACTGCTCATCAGTTATGCCTTTGAAGCTAATTTAGTACACTGCTTGGATATTCATGAAACAATAATTAATGAATGGTATATTACCTTTCAACCCAATGTCTTATAACACAATTGTAGTTAGAAAAAGACTACTCTACTGATTTTTTCCCCTGTTCTTTCCTAGTTTTACAAATTCCAGATGAATTCCAGACTTTATGCTTGATGGTTCGTTGTAAATCCTCACAGCATTGGTTTTGGACAGATATTTATTTTTACACTGCAAGCAAGGATGGTGGTCTCATACATACGTCAACTGACAAAAATGAATGGGCCTTTCATAAGTCTACAATATTTGAATGGTGTGCAGATAGTGTGTTTAATTACACCAACTTGTTTGAAATAATTTGCGTACACTTCTAAGTATTACTCATATTGTTAAAAAAAAAAAGAAGTCTTGCATTGACTGTGGAATCCACTACAAAGTCCAAACTTAAGGAGTATAACCTGGCCATTGACTAAATTAACAAAAAATATGGTATTTTTTACTTAACTGAGAGTTTCTGTGTACCAAATAAAAAACATTGTAAAAGCATGCACATCAGTTGAGCAAGTAAAAAAAAAAGTAAAAAAAAAAATCAATAA